AGGGGACCGAGGTGCCGCCGTGCCCACGCTGCCCCCTGGGTGCGGCCCGCCGGGCCCCGCATGTTCTTCCTCGGGTTACTTTGAAGGATTTGGGGAAGGGGCCACCGCAGTGCGCGCCCACTTCGCGCCGGGCGGCTCAGCATTGTCACAGCGTGTGCGGCGCAGCCGCGCACCGCGCGTGAGGCCGGTGTATCCCCGCTCTGTGTACGGTTAAGGGAACGGGCCCAGAGAGGGCACTGCCTGGTCCCACGTCGTGGCAGCCACTGGAGGGCTTGGCACAGTGACCAAGACAAATGCATGTATCCAGTTACACCGTTTATACCGTGTGCATGTTATGTGCCAAAAACTGTCCTAGGAGCTGGGGATACAAAGATGAAAGCCTGGAGCAGTCTAAAGCCTAGTGGGATACTGGATGAAGGGACGGGGCTTGTAAAACGGGCAGTGGCCAGAGGGTGCAGAAGAGAAGGACGGACGTGAGAAACCAGGAGCTTCCGTCCCTGGCGCCAGACCCGCAGGATGCCAGGGTGTTAAATGTTAGGACATGTCTGAGTGCCCCTGCATGAAGAAGGACATGCTGGGTACAGAGCAGCCACCTGGTAAGATACTTGAATGTGCAAGTGCAATAGTGGGCCAGGGAAAACGGAAAAATTCAAGCAAACAGGTAAAGAAGGTGAACGGGACTAGAGAGGAGTTTCAGGCAAAGGGAAGAGCAGCAGAATGAGAGACGCAGAAAGTCTGGATCTCCCTTCATAGGAGGAAGAGCTGATGAAGAAGACAGGTGGTGAAAGACCATTAATAGAAAATAGAATTTGGGGGGCACTTACCATGTGCCAGGCACCCTCCTGCACACTTTACATGTACTATTAATAGTAACTCTCATCCTTACAATAACCCTATGCGGTACTGTATTATATCCTCATATTGCAGGTAAATAAATAAAGGCTTGGAGAAAAAGAATTTATCTGGTGTCATACAGCTCATATGAACTCAGATATTCTGGTTTCACAGTCCTTGTTCTCATGCTGAATTAAAGAGTCTGAATCGTGTCATGTGGATAATGGAAAGTTATAGAAGCAAGAATTTTCACTGTGAAACACTAGATACCTTGAAATTCCCCATGAAAAAAGAATTCCAGGGCCAAATGAAGGCCACATTCCCTCAGGAGAAGCCATTGCCTTGCTCTTTCTAGCTTTTAGAGCTGCACTCCTTACATTCCTCTGCTTGTGGCCCCTTAATCTTCACAGTCAGCAATGTAGCATCTTGCTTCAGCGGTCACATTGCCTTCTGTGTCAAATCTCCCTGTGGCTCCTTATAAGGATATTTATGATTATATTTAGGGCCCAGCGAGATAATCCAGGATAATCTCTCCATCTCAAAATCCTTAATTTAATCACACCAGCAGATGTGTTTTATAAAGTAACATTCACAGGTTCCAGGGCTTAGCACCTAGGATATCTTCAGGGACTCAGCTGACCACACTCATTGAGAATTAACTTGCAGACAGACCAGTGGGGAGGGAGTGAGCCATGTGGCTCCCTGGGAAGGTGCCTGGAGGTGGAACATACCTGGAGTGCTTTTAGAACATGGTGACCAGAGGGCAGAGTGCATGAGAGGGACATTGGGGGCCAGGTGAGTGGTCAAGGATGATCCCAAGATTTTTTGACCTGAACAACTGGAAAAATGAACTTGCCATTAAACAGGGATGGGGATGAAGCTTTGAGGGAAGACCAGGAGCTGAGTCTAGGCAGGGAAACTGTGAGATGCCTAATAGACATTCAAGTGCAGTTGAATCTGGAATTCAGATGAGAGGGCTAAACCAGAAGATAAATGTGGAAGTCATCAGCATAAGGAGATATTCAAGGTTATGAGACCAGGTAAGGTTGCGGGGGGGGGGGCGACTAAAGGAAAAGAACCAAGGTAATTTTTTAAGAGCTGAACCCCAGAGATGGAGAGTGACGAGGGACCAGGCTGGAGAGGTTAGCAGGGCCAGTGAGGTAGGGTCACATCTGAGCTTTATCCTAAGAGCTGTGATGAGCCACTGAAGTACTTTTAAACAAGGGAGTGACGTTGTTGGGAATATGCCCCTGACGACAGTGTGGCAAAGGTGGAGAGAAGAGAAGCCTGTTAGGAATTTTGTAATAATCCAGATGAGAGATGACACTGGAACCAGAGAGTGGCAGGTGGCCCCAGAGCAGTGGGTGGGTTAGGGTAGAGGAATATTTGGGGCCTTGATGCGTGGTTGGCTTGAGGATGGCCTGAAACCACCGATGGGCTTCTTGACTCCTCCTGGGTGAGCCCAGGACAGAAGCCAACATCTAAGCAACAAGCAGAGTGGAAAAGAAGGGGGTGGCCCACAGTGGTCGGTGCTATGAGAGCAAGGTGTTAGAGTGGGGTCTGGGAAGTGAGGATACAGCAGGAAAGCTGGGACTCGTGAAGACAGCAGCCGGATCGCAGGGGCCAAGGAATGTGTGAGAGGCAAGGAAATGGAGCCAGCAAATGTAGGCCAGGAGCAGAGAACCAGAGAATGAGCCAGCATAGGGGACGAGGCTTGGCTGAGTTCTAGGCGTGAAACTCTTAAACCTATGACAAGGGTCAGGTGGGGGAGCACTAAGAAGCACAGGACAGAGGGAGGACCCGAGAAAGCAAGAGGGCATGGGATTCAAAGCACAAATAAGGAGTGAAAATGATGAACTGAGGCAGCCTCAGAGCCTGAAAAACATAAAATAGAAAGAGAAGGGAGGTGGGAAGGAAGCCCGTGCTCCCACTGTCCCGGGCATTAGGAAGCTTTGAGTTTGATGTTTTTCTTCCCTTGGCCTCTCTTTGCTTGTCCTTGGGGGTGTAAAGCCCACCTCCGCCTCGCCTACTTTCCTGTCTCCCCCGGGAGCCTGGCTGGATCAGGATCAGGCCAGCGGGATGCTCTTGGGAAACCCTGAGCACCTGCGTTCAGCGGCGCCCACGAGATGGCAGCCTTGACTCACTGTAGCGCTCCCGCTGGCTCCCCATGTAGCTCTGACTTTGAAATTCTCAGTTTCTGAGATCTTGAGGACCCCTGAGTTCAACCCTTTCCCTTCTCTCTCCTCTTCCCCCTCCGATGTTTTCATTCCGAATCTGAATGGGGAAGGGAAGGTTATACACTCACGTATCTGTAGGAGCCCCACTATGACAAGGTCCCCTGGGCAATAACAGAAACAAAACCCTTTCTCAACAACGCTCAAACACAGCAAGCAGGACAAAAGGAAGCCAGAGGAGGGACTGTCCAAGAACTAGGAGGCGACCAGGACAGGGAAGGGATACGAAGGCAGCGGTAGAGAAGCAGACGCAGCTGAGAAGAGGTGATGGATCCGGTGAGAAGAATGGGACATGTGTGAGTGCATTTTAGGCAAGGAGGGGACGAGCACAGGGAGCCTGGACTGTGGTAGCTGGTCCCTGGTCCCTGAAGCTTGGCAGAGAAAGGATGCAGGTGCGAGATGGTCCCCGGGGAGGCGAGTGGAACAGGCCAGGAACCTGTTTGAAGATAAATTAAACACCTCGAGGGCAGTGGGAAAACACAGGGAAAGTTTCCCCTGGAGGTGGGGTGGGGGGGAGACAAGGAATGAGGTGCTCGAGTAGTTAGCCTGGGTCAGTTTGGTCAAACCTCCTAACCTGGTAAGAAGAGCTGGGACCTCACCCAGGCCAGGGACTCCACCTTGAACTTACTTGTGTCGCCAGAGTCCCATCTCAGCTCCCGCAGGGATTTATTAACTGCTGCTGGAAAAATTCATGAAAGGGAGGAGCTTACAACACTGGAAAGACTGAGCCTACTTTTTGTCCACGGTGATTTCCCTTTTTTCCTTCTATGTACAGTGTTTGCCAATAGCGACTACTTTGCTTGCATCTGAAGACTAAAGCTGTACAGTGATTTACTTTAAGACTTCTTACCTTTTGGTTCTCTAGTTTCGCTTTACATTTTTCCTTCTTTTCCCCCCCTTTTCTCTAGATGCCGGTGTCCAACTCATTCTCACACCTACTCCCAAGGTAATAATACATTTTGTATTTTTAAACTAGCCACAATTTCCGTTTCCACAGTCGGCCCTCCAATACATTTGGGCAAAAGGCAAAGCAAGAAAATCAAGGGATACGAGAGGGTGGTTGGCGAAAGCGGCGGCCTTTTCACTTGCAATTGGCAACATGTAGCTCTAATTCCACGATCGATATTAGCTGAATGTATGCTACCGATTATGTGTTTGGCTTAAATATATACTTAATGCTATTTATAATGTTTTTCTATTTTAAATAGAATAATTTTCCAAAGCTAAAAAAGATGCCATGGATAGGATCTTAAGATTGTCTGAGTTCATCAAACAGAATTCATCAAGCTGAAATCTTTGGAAGGTTCTAATACATCTCAAAAAAGAAAGGCTGAAGAGCAAGGTGGTTCCTAGAAGGAAAAATCTTGCCTGTTTTAATTTTTCAAATAGCATTCTATTTCTTAATAATTAAAAATAATGACAGAAGTTTTCGATTCCTACAAACATCTTAATCCTTACCAACTCCATTGTCTGCAGAGCAGCAGGAAGTTCATTGTAGCTTCAGCGTGTCCTCAGATGTCACATGAATTACTGACACTAACCCCGATTTCACCTCTCAGAAGGAAAGGTCAAATCTAAACAGCCAGGCAAGGGGTGAAAAGGAAGGGGCCTGGCCCAACAGGGCCCTAGGCAGAGACCCTAAAGAAGCCCGTTGGGAAGGGAACAGAGAAAGTAACTGAGTGCTTTGCCTGCCAGTGGAGTGACTCACCCTTCAGGACAAGCCAAGGGACCTCCCATTCACTAACCGCCATCTACCAAGCAGAAGCATGCCCAGCCTTTCAGGCCCTCGTGAACACATGCAGAATTTTGTCTTCAGCTGGTTTTGTCCAATTCTTACTGGGTTTCAACAAAGATTCAGGAATTTCCTATTTGGGTGAGTAAAATTAGTAATTTAGGGAAAGTTAATTTCATTGTTTAATAGGATCCAATTTATATGTTTTCTTAAACTTTAGTTACAGGAGTAATAGATTATTTTTTTAAAGCCTGTAGCGATCAAAGAACTTTGAATTTTAATTCAGGATACTCTTGTCCTCAGGAAAATGAAGGTAGATTGTTGTCTAGTTGTGGTCTCTTCTTTTTTTCAATCTTACGACTAACCAGAACTGATTAAAAAATAAGTAGATAAAAACAAAGATAAAATTCATTTAGTGGAGCCCTCTTGGTATTCCAATAAGACAGAAAATCATTTTTGCCCTAACTACAACTGTTGCAAAGCAATATCAGTTTATAAAATTTTTTATTAAATTTCATAAAGAAAACTAAAATTTTTATTTTTATAAGATTAAGAAATAGAAATATCTTACTGGGGATAAGTAACCTCCATGGCAAAACATTAATTGAAACAAATGGTCACAGTTGCTATAAGAAGTGTAAGCAAGATTCTAATTAATGAATTTACTGTTGCTATCTAACAGTAACCCAAATCTAGAGTCTAGATTTTTTTCTAGACGGTTTTACACATTATATTTTCAAAAGTATATTTAATTTCAATGGAGAAAATATTTTAAGTAACTTTATTTTCACACAATCAGCATCAAGTTAGCATTACATTCTCTTAAAATGCAGGTTTTAATTTTAATTTGATATGCAACAATGAAACCTGAAAAATATATTTTAGGTAAGGCTTCAGGGGAGGCGCTTATGTTCACTTCTAGAATATAAGTTTACGATCAAATAACAATATTTTGCTTTGCTTTTGGGGCCTACTCTGATACTTAGTTTTATGTTTCTAGCTCCTGGGCTTTCACCTTCTGGAAAAACAACAGATTATGCCTTTGAGGTAAATTTAGTCAGTCCATTCTTTCTTTTATGGATGACCTAAAAAATACAACTAGAGTATTTTTCTAATGCATTATCATCTCACTTGAAATCTGCTATTAATTGATGTCCCCCAATCTCATAACTTGATCAGGCCCTATTTAGCAAATTACCTTGTTAAGATAATGGAATATAAATCTGATAACATGAGTAATGTCTAAAATACTTTCTTCTTTACAGCCATTAAAATAGGGCAAATTTCCTGTTCTACAAATTTTCCAATTCACAAATATCGTATGTTAAACCTTCTTTGGCTTTGTTAAGTAAAACAATCCCCACCAGATCCACATAATCTTTTGACACAAGAATAAAGGAACAATTAATTCTGATGAATTTTTATCACACTAATTGCAGAATTATTTGTTTAAATCCCTGTCTCCTCCTAGTTCAGGACTCATAAATTAAGTGTCTCCAGTGGCCTGACAGTTAACGAGTCCTTGAGCAGATGAGGGGAGGACAGTGCTGAGTTCACTGAAAGCAAAGGCCCATCGGAAGGGTACAGCCTCTGCTCAGCCCCACATGATTGCTGCCACATGGGAAAGCAGGCTTCATGTTGCCCAGTTATTCAAGAGAGATCAAACAGTCACACTGGATATTTTTATTCTGATTTTTAAGAATTATGAGCCAATTCAAAACAGAACAAACTTGACCATAATGTGGATCAAGCAAAACATCTCTTTGGATCAATAGTGACCCATTGTCCAATCAGTTTAAAAGCTCTTCTCTCAGCTGTAAACTTTATGAGGCTGTTTTTCTTGTTCATAGTTGTATAACCAGAGCCTAACACAGTGCCTGGAACATAGGAGGCGCTCAGTAGCATTGGGTGGATGGAAGGATGGATGAATGGATGGATACATGGATAGATGAATGGTTGGATGATGAATTGGATGAATGAATGAGGGGATGAAAAATGCACAAGGAGTCAACAACATTTAAATTGGAAAATAGGAAGAAATTTGAGAGGTAGCTTAGTTTGGGAAACAAGGAAAGGCGGGCATTTCAAGCTGTGGGAACTGAGAGTTTATGATATGTTTGGAAAAAGATAAGACCAATGTAACTAGTGCCAAGGTTTTCTTAAAGAAGTATGAGGAGTCTGAGGCCAGAGGGGGTGACCTGCAAGGCCATGCTATGGGATATATATATATATATATACACACACACTTTATTCTTTAGGCAATGAGAAACCATTTCAGGCTTTTAGAAATGAAATGGCCAGTCTCTAATACACCCATCACCAATTTTTTTTTTTTTTTCAGATGGCTGTTTCAAATATTAGATATGGAGCAGGAGTTACAAAGGAAGTGGGAATGGCAAGTATTTAAGATTTCTAGAGCCTACTGTAGAGGTTACATATCTTTTAAAACAAGTGCAAATGGACAACAGTTGAGTCCTTTGTTTTTAAAAATTTTTAATGCTAAGTTGGCCAGAATTGTCTATTATGTTTCTAGTGTAATCAAACCTAACTTATAAATTATTTTTATTATTATAGGACCTGCAAAACATGGGTGCTAAAAATGTTTGTTTGATGACAGACAAGAACCTCGCCCAGCTCCCTCCTGTACAAGTAGTTATGGATTCCCTAGTAAAGAACGGCATAAACTTTAAGGTTTATGATAATGTGAGGGTGGAACCAACTGATAGAAGGTATTTTTATTGTTGTTATTTAAATGGAAGCCAACACATATTGCTGTTGCTTAAAACTTGCCCCAAGACTTACTAAGTGGCGTGTCAGTTTATTTCTGACATACTGGCATCTATTTTCCTTTCTCGCAGCTTCAGGGAAGCAATTGAGTTTGCCAAAAAGGGAGCTTTTGATGCCTATGTTGCTGTGGGTGGTGGCTCCACCATGGACACCTGTAAAGCCGCTAATCTGTACGCGTCCAGCCCTCACTCTGATTTCCTAGATTTTGTCAGTGTTCCCGTTGGGAAGGGAGAGCCTGTGTCTGTGCCTCTTAAGCCTCTGATCGCAGGTAAAGACTCGTTTGCTTTTTTGTTTGTTTTGCAATTAGAAAAAAAGCCTTAAGAAAGATGCAAACTGGGAATTTTAGGGTATGTTTTTCTAAAGCTTTCTGATTTCTTCATTTCAGTGTAGTACCTTGTTTAGAGATCAAAACAGATAGCAATTCATTCATGTTTAAAATTCTGATCTTCATTATTGCACCCGTAGAGACAATTTGGGTCAATGGTAGGAAAGCTTGCAGATTTAAGCTATGAAGTCACTATGTGAAGGAGGGGAGAAGGTCATCATTTATGCATTATTAGATCCTTCGATAGGCAGGTTTGTCTTCTAAACCCCTCTCTGTTTTGTCCATTTTGCCAGCCACTGGGAGTTCAGGGGAACATTCACTATTATTTTTCTGGTGTTGACTCAACCCTTTCTTCCACATAATGGCTCTTCAGCTGACCTGAGGCTTTGTCTCTGCTCTGGGACATGTGGCCAGCATGGCCACATCGCTCTGGGAGACATCTGCTGTGTGTCTACACTGGGCGCAGACACAGAAATTCAAACAGAATAGCTTGTATGTTTCACACAGGCCTTGGCATCTTTCTGTCTTTTCTTCCCTCTCATTTTATAGCTGTTAGCATATTACTGTTTAAAGTTTTATAGCTAAAGTGTGCTGACCGTTCACTGGAAAATACCAGTTTAAAGTCTTGCTCTCTGCTCCCCTCTGCTGCCCCCATTGTGAAGGGGCCTTGAGATTGGGATAGGAGTGAGTTGACGGCAGATGAGCTGCTTTGATGTGAACGAGGAATCAGCAGGGAGCAGCATAATTGATGTCTGGCAAATGGAACCCTCTGGTAAAACTGTGTCAGCATCACACAGAGGGGTGATTAGTAAAGTTTAAAAACTTGACAGAACTACAAAACCGCAAGCCCAGCAAAGGCAGAACGTTACTGAGCTTGCTGCCAAGAGGGAATAAAGACATCTTTCAGAGAGGCAAATACAAATTTTCTTCCTGGAGATGCCCAGCAGCCTGTGTTTGAATATCCAACTGCAGCTGCTTAAGCTCTGGCGCTAAAGGAGCCTGAGGTTCCCAGAGCTCCTCACTGTTAATACAGAAACAGACTTCACACATACATATTAAACCTTCATGTGTGTTAATACAGACATGGACAACATCCATACACAGCCACACACATACACTTCAAAGTGCACACACATGTTAATACAGACATGGGCATTATACATGTTAAACATGCATATTAATGCTGACACAGGCATCATATTGTACATGCATGTTAATGCAGACACACATACACGTGAAGCATACATGCATGTTAATAGAGATATACACATCAGACAAGCAACGGGGGCAGCAAAGCTTTCTTCTAATTTAGCACCTTAGTTCCTCAGACTGAATTAAGTATCTCCACTGACCTTTATTTAGATGCTTTATTAATATTAATATTATTTTGTTCAAGTCCCAACTACTTCAGGAACTGGGAGTGAAACTACTGGAGTTGCCATTTTTGACTATGAGCCTTTGAAAGTAAAAATTGGTAAGAATTTTTCCCATTAACTTTTTAAAAAATTCTCTCTTTTACCTTTCAAACCTAGCCCCTTTTATTTAATCCTAATATTTAATAATCAGGGAGTTATGGAGTTAAGGGATGGGTATATACATATACACATATTCTTTTTCTAAGTACATATAAAAATATGAAACAGTCTAATAAGCTTCTTTTTGAGAATTACCTATAAAAGTATTGAAATGCCATGAAATCTCGATTGGCTGTTTTTCTGCTGAAGTTGGCAACTGTATGTCATTGATAAAGGGTTATTCCCTTTCCTGGGCATCTTTTTTACCTTTTAAATCAATTTCATTGAGATATAATTTTATATAATAAAATGTGTACATTTTTTGAGCCTGGTTTGATGGATTTTTGACAAATATGGGCACCCATGTAACTACCACTGCAATGCAGATACAAAACTCCCCATCACTCCAGAGAAATCCCTCCAGCCCCATTCCCAAGTAATGGCTGTTCTGCTTTCCTTCTTCTTTGTCATTTTTATCCTGTTTTCTTCTCTGACTCTCAGCTGAGGTGGTAGAAATGTCCCTTTCTTTGAATCTGACTCCATATCCTTCTTTCAGGCCTTTGTAGCAGAATAAATTGACATTCAACCACATATTTATAGTAATTTCACTTTTTAAAATTAAATTACATTATCCTTTGACATCAAGAAATAATAGTTACCAACATTTAACTTCTACCTTACAATTTTTTAAAGGCTTTACCATGATGTTATCTAATGTGGTCCTTACAACAGCTCGGTGAGGGATGGAGCCCTTGTGATTGTATAGTCTAATCTCATAGAGAACTCAGAAAGGCTAAGTGACTTGCCCAAAGAACACATGGTAAGTTGCAGAGCAAAGACCCAAACCAGCGGTGAGCTAGTAAACCAGTTCTCTGGCATTTAGTAAGTAAATAAGCCCTGATTTGTAGCATTTGCCAATTTCTGTGGTATAAATATTCCCACCATAGCCAATGACATCACTCAACCTGCCGTAGGGAAGAGATGCACATACTTGGCTCCCGAGAACTGAAAGGAGCTTCCTCTCCAGTGAAAAGCCCAGGTTTGGGACTCCAAATCTCTTTCCACTGCTCCTTGCTGCCTCCCTACATGAGAATGACTCTTATCTCATATTTTTTATATTTTAGGATAATTTGTTATCCTAAAGTTATTTAATGTTTTTAAATGAAGTCCATACCTATAGCCTCTATTGAAAATCGCTGTCCTAGGCATTGGTTCTCGAGCCATCAAACCCACGCTGGGACTGATTGACCCTCTGCACACCCTGCACATGCCTGACCGGGTCGTGGCCAACAGTGGCTTCGACGTGCTTTGGTAGGTACCTGGAGGGGTATTTTCAGTACCTGGGTCTATGGACAGTATTTTCTTTTCTTTAATTTTATTTTTTTAGAACATTAAACACCTTAATTACATGAGCTAAGAGAGGAGGAAAGGATTTATTTGCCTTCCTGGGCATTGATTTTCCTCGGCTAGAACTCCAGCTCCTTGCCCCCGAGCACATAACCATCTGCTCAGCCACATTGGCCTGATCTTGAAGCAGTGCACACAAGAAGCCTGTCCTCTCAGAACTGCTCCTCTAGAAGACTGCTGATTGTGGCATTCTTTTTCCTTTCATCATATTTCTTCTGAATTTTCTCTGATCGCTTTTTGTTTAAAATCTCTTCCTCCTCAAGAGTCTGCTTGGCCCCTTTCTTGCAGCCCAGGGGCAGTGCATAGTGGGACTCGAACCTCTGTCAGAACAGTGTTCTGTCAATGAGTAGGATACAGTTCTTTACTAGGGTCTTGGTGCAGATCAGTTTGTTGTTGGATGCAGAGGTTGATTAGCTAGAATTGGTGGCAGGCCAACACGGGGCAGAAACTCTGAAGCTTGGGTCTTGAAATAGCCAACCCTGAATTTAGGGCATTTAAAAAAAAAGAATTGGATTTTTTTCAGGCCAAGAATTAATAATGGTGAGTGATAAGTTTTACCATGTGCTGGTACAATGCACTAAGTACTTTACATATGTCAACTCAATTTTCACAGTAGATGTCCTATTATTTGTCCCCATCTTAGAATCACAGGGAGATAGTGACTCCTGGAGATGGTGACTCCCCCACAGACCCACAGCAGAAAGGTCTGGTGTTAGGATTTACACCTGGGCAGCTGACCCCAGGCTCTATGTTCTCACCCCCTGCACCGTACTCTTAATACGAGGCTAGTGCAATTATGACCCTACTTGGGTAGTATGGTATTTGACCAATGCAAAGTATAAAATGGTAAATATACTTTAGAAGAAAATAATTTTTTAGATTCAGTGCTTTTCTTCATGACTTAAATGTTTAAAAATTCAACATCATAAAGATTTATTTGCATTAGAAAGGGGCCATATGTAATCTTATACTTATTGGTCAAAAACACTATAGTGCTGTTAATATAAGCTTCACTGTTAATTTCTATAATAAGTAATGACTGTTGTGGGCAAGAGGCTGACTAGTGGAATGTATTGTGGTTATCACTGCCACGCAGCGTATCCACAGTGGCATGAGTACATTTCCAAGACAATTTGTTATCTTAATGGAGGGAAGGAGGAAGACTACGCTTTCAATCTGTGTAACTTAAATATTTCTTGTTAGCCACGCCCTGGAGTCCTACACTGCCCTTCCTTACCACATGCGGAGCCCCTGCCCTTCAAATCCCATCTCTCGGCCAGCCTACCAGGGCAGCAACCCAATCAGTGACATTTGGGCAGTCCACGCACTGAGGATCGTCGCTAAGTATCTGAAGAGGTATGCCATCCAGAGGGGTTAGAAATAGAACAGAAAAACCACATTCCACCCTCACGTAAAATGTAGCGTGCCGGCTCCTGACATGTCCTAAGTCTGTTCACCAAAAGGTCAGTCAGGGGATATAGGGAAGCACCAGCAAGCTTCTGGGAGGATGAGAGGGATTAGGGGGGCACATGAAGACAGATGAAAACTGGGTCCTTTAGTCTGGAAAGGCAAAGACTACAAGGGAGTAAAATAGGAGTCCCTAATTTGTGAAGGATGCAGACACAAGGTTTATTCACTGAAGCCTCCAAACCAAAGATAGGATGAGGGGAGATGTCCTTTGAGATGTGGCTACCAAAGGAAGACAAGAGCACCACAAAGGCAGGTGTTGGCTGTGCCCATCGCGCCCTGAGCAGCGGAACACAGAATCGACCCAGTGAGCACACTCAGATGAGCTAAATTTAAGAATTAAATGCATGGAGTTCTCTGTCCCAGGAGATATAAAAGGCTTCCTAAAAGGTTATGAAAGATTTGTGAATGACATAGCTATAATAGGCTTCTGGGAGAGCAAATAGATACTTAGAGATGAAAGCTGATCCCTGAGACATGAAGACATCTACAAAGTGGGACTCATTTTTGTACTTACACGTGAGGGAAAGAATATGGCAGGTTAGGCGTAGATGTGAGCACAGTGCCTCCTCTGGCCCTGAGCTGGAAGCTGCCCTGGAGAAGGGACTGGACTGTATTTGCAGTAGAGCTGGAGGAAGGGACACAGATCCATCAGTTCATGGGAACCCTCAGGGAGCACAGAAGCATTTGGGAAGAAGCAGATACAGATAAATGTCAGTGGTGTGTTTTGGCAGGAGCAGAAGGCTTGGCAGAGCAGCAGTGGGAGGCAAGGGGGTAAAATGGACAGAAGAAAGCCTGAAGCACCATCATCTACCATTTCTTCTTGTCATTCAGAGAATGCAGAGAGAACACTGGGTTTTGGAAAGGAGACTCAGCGCTCAACCGTTTCAAATGAAAATGGGGAAAAGGCCGTGGCACTCTTATTTCATAACAGGAGCCCTTAACTCCAGGCAAAATCACAAAAAAGCGAGTGAGAAGTGGCTCACTTGGCAGTCTCAGGCTTCCTCCCCAGGGCAGGGTTTTTATGCAGCGTGTGCAGGAAGGCTGAGCTGCATCTGAAAGGGGCCTTTGAGAATTTGCTTTTCCGAAGTGGCGCTGGGGACAAATAGAGCAAGCAAAAGCTTGTCCTACAATAACATCCCACTTCCACAATAATAAATATTAAATAACATGTGCAGTTTCCACAGATAACAAAAGAGGCCTCCCGTGGGTCTGAATGAGGCAGTGTCACAGGAAGAAAGATGGCTGGGCGGCTGCGGTTAGTCTGCAGGTAGCCCCAGGCGACAGGGACTCACTTCAGTGAGCCAGCCTGGGCCCTGTGCATTCCGGGTGTATGTTTACTCTAAGTCCATTCACAGCGGCCGTCACAGGGTCATTGACAAGTGAGGAAGAAGAATGAGTCTCGGGCCCTTTGCTAGAGCAGCTCTCACAACCCAAGGGTCAGTGCTCAGCTTCCCCTGGCACTTTCATCACATGAGCAGCCTGACAGCATATTTATTATGCCTTTGCTCAAACCATTGATGAGAAGAGATGTTTACCCTCACTTTTCCTTTAGAAGACAAGATGTCATTTGAATAACTTGCCTAATTTTTCTTCCTACCAAGTACCATTTCTTTTTTTCCAGATCTTTCCCTAAGGCAGCTCTTTATTCAGTAGGAAATGCCACTGTTGATGTGTTATTGTTAGATATTTATATCATCCACAGGGCTGTCAGAAATCCTGATGATCTAGAAGCAAGGTCCAGTATGCACTTGGCAAGTGCTTTTGCCGGCATTGGCTTTGGAAACGCTGGTGTTCATCTGTGGTGAGCTATTGTTTTCAAATGTTTTAAATGTTTATAATTTAGGACAGGCAATAAGATTTAAATATGTTATAGAAAGAAGATATAATTTGAGGTCCTGAAATATTTCCTTAATTCAAATGTAATTTATTGGGTAAATAATTTTTTTGGTAACAGTTTTATTGAGATATAATCCACACACTATATAATTCACCCACTTAAAATGTACACAATTCAGTGCTTTTTAGTATATTCACAGTCACCACTGCCACAATCAATTTTAGAACATTTTTTTACCCAAAAAAGAAATTCTGTACCTCTTAGCTGTCACCTGCCAATGCTCCTGTACCCCCAGTCTTAAGCAACTACTGATCTACTTTCTACCTATAGATTTGCCTATTCTGGGCATTTCATAAAAGAGGGTGATATAATATCTGGTCTTTTGTGTCTGGCTTCTTTAACTTAGCATGTTTCCATGGTTCGTTCATGCATGTATCAGTACTTCATTCTTTTTTATTGCCAAATAACATTCCATTGTACGGCTGTAACGTATTTTATTTACCCATTCATCAGTTGATGTACATTTGAGCTGTTTCCACTTTTTGGCTGTTATGAGTAACCCTGCTATGAACATTTGTGTACAAATTTTTGTGTGGACATATGTTTTCATTTCTATTGATTATATACCTGGGTGTGGAATTGCTGGTAATTCTCTTTAAATTTTGAGGAACTTCCGGACTGTTTTTCATAGCAGGTGCGTCATTTTACATTCCCCTCAAGCAATGGAGGAGGGTCCTGATTTCTTCACATTCCCTCCATGTGTTGTGGATTTTTAAAACCTCCCTTTTTTTCTTCTTCTAATCTCTCACAAAAAGAGATCAGAATCTTTGCCAATAGCCCAGAATTAATCTTTTTGATCAGAGCTTTGTTGGTATATTGCCTTCAACTTGAATACCAGTGAACACTGAGAATTAAGAACAGACCTTTGCTAGGGAGAGTACAATAAAATAAATGGTCTCCCTCGAGCTCTGCTGCTGAGAGGAGCTCAGATTATCACCACCTTTCTAAAAAGCAAGTGAGCAAAATCTCCCCAAATTTTGAAAAATGTGTTTATCCTTTGTCCCAGTTAATTTTACTTCTAGAAATATAGCCTAAAAAATAATCACATGCTCAAAGAATTTACTTATTAGGATAATCACCTAGGGGTTATTTATAATTGAAAATTTTGAAACAGCCTAAATTTCCAGCAGTTTTGAGGATGATTAACCAAGTGCAATACTCAAAGCCTGGAATAAGGGTATTAAAAATAATGTTTTAGAAGAATACAAAATAATATGGGAACATCTTACAAAGAGTATTAAGTGACAGAAGCATGGTCTAAAACTAAATGTACGGTATGGTCATATATTAAAGATATGCATAAGAAAAATATCCTATAATGGTTATCTTGAGGAAATAGGATTATGAATCATTTAATTTTTGCAAGTAACATATACAATGTTAAAATAAAAGAAATTAAACTAAAATATTGGCTATCATTAGAAAAGTACCTTTAAAAGCTGTGTGAACCCTTTCCCATCATGAGAGCACACTAAGCAATAATTTTCTGGATAGCTCAGTTGGTTAGAGCATTATCCCAATATGCCAAGATTGCAGGTTCGATCCCTGTTCAGGGCACATACAAAAATCTTCCAATGAATGCATTAATAAGTGGAACAACAAATTGGTATTTCTCTCTCTGTGTCTCTCTCTTTTCCTCTCTCTCTAAAAATCAATCAATAATAATAGTTTTCTGAATACTCTGGAACCTGAAAAAGGTAAAACACATTCCAAAATACCCAAGAACTCAGAGGACCCATAGCTCCCAGTCTCCCTCATGAAAGCTGACAGGCAAGGGACACCATTTTTTAAATACAGATAATCGTACAGTTCACCAAAGTATTTCATCTTTCTATGAAATGTAAATCTTTTGGTGAATAGGCACAAAGTCATTCAATAACCCATACTGATAGACTTATAGACCATGTTACTATTATAAAACAGTTTATTTTTAATATATTAATTGTAACCATACTAACTTCTCACAGTGTATATCTTCTGAGTCATCTATTAAACTACAATATTATCCTATTTGTTCACTAAGAATTCAAGAGGATATAAAGATTTTTTTCCATTAAAACAACCCTCCCCTAAAACTCCCACAAATAAAAACCATGGTGCTGTTTTTTTAGTCTTTCAGGCTAGAATAATCATTTATGATTCAACTCCATTAGTATGTAACATTCAAAAGGATGTATCAGTTATTGGTGGGACAGACCACTGGCAGGTCAAGCTTGCATGTCTAATGCAGCACATCTTGGTTCATAAAACTCCCACCAACATGGTCAGCTTGTGCAGGAACACACTGCCGAAATATTGCAGAGCAAGATAGAAAACGCATGCCCTAAAACTTATTAAAGAAATGTCAAAGTGAATTCTCAGTTTCTTCAAGATTATAATGTTAGCCAATGTACAGTGGTACCCCTGTTTTCAAATGCAACCCGTTCCGGAAGACAGTTCGAGTCCTGAAACATTCAAAAACCAAGGGATCAGCAGCTGACAGCTAGGCCTCAGGATCTTGCCCTCATCAGAAGCCATGTGGCATGTTCGACTTCTGATGCGTGTTTGAAAACCGAAACATTTACTTCTGGGTTTATGGCGTTCCTAAACCGAAATGTTCATCAATGGAGACGTTCAAAAACTGAGGTACCACTGTATTTGGGGAGAATCTTCTGTATTAACACATTTTAGTGGCCTACAGTTTTATAAGCATTTGAATTCGAACATTTCAGAGGTTTTGTCATGAATAACGCCAAATATCGAGTGCATAACAATATATCCTTACAGCAAAGAAAACAGATTGTATAACTTTGTGAGATAAAGGTAATGTCAAGAGACTGTGAAGGACTCTCCCATAAGAGTATATTTGTATTAACTTGAACTTCTGGTATCTGTATGTCAACATAAAGATTTTCTTTCTTTTCTAGCCATGGAATGTCTTACCCAATTTCAGGCTTAGTGAAGACATATAAAGCAAAGGATTATAATGTGGATCACCCATTGGTGGTAAAATCATAATAAATCTTTAATTAAATCTTCTATTTCTTGCAATTGCTATAAAAGTATTTGTCAGTTCTCAATTGCTTAGAGTGCAGGGTTATTTAATATCTAGAACACGCAGGTTGGAGACCAGCTTTGCCCAGTCAGTCACCATGTTTTGTTTCTCTTCAGCCTCATGGCCTTTCTGTGGTGCTCACCTCCCCAGCGGTGTTCACTTTCACTGCACAGATGTTTCCTGAGCGGCATCTGGAGACGGCAGAAATATTGGGTATGAATCATTACTCTTAATTATGTGACCCACATAGGTGGAGCACTTCCTAGGTTCTGAAGGTAAACCATAAAGGATAATACTAAAAATGTTGCTTTGAAATAGTTTAATAATAACTTGTCATTGACCTGCTCAAAGTCCCATCTGGTGCTAAAATTCTATAATTTTGTGTTTCTAACAGTCTGTCAACAATGCACTGGAATCAAGTATTGCTTATGTTAAGTTTGGAGTCATCATATTTCCAGTTTTCATACCCAAGGAAAGTGAAGCTCTTTACATACAACAAATGTTATAAATGGCTTCGGTATGTTTCGTAGGTAATAAAATGAATCTAATTCCCAACTATAGAATCTAAACTACTAGAAACTGTCTAAAAAGATCCCCAAGGAAGAATTTTTTGCTGCTCTGTAGAATAAGTAATGTCTATAACAAGATTCCGACACAGTTCTTTTTGAATCTTACAAGAAATAACATTATATTCAGGATAGCTTAGTTAAGTAAAATGTTGCTATTTTTCTAAGATGAGAACTCTTTTCAGTAAACTTGAGTATTTGATTAACTTTCCAAACATCTTATTCCCCAACTTGTGTTTAGGGTAGGAAGGGAAAGGCTAAAGAAAACTTCATTATGTTCCTTAGCACCAGCCGTTGGAGGGATTATTTCCAGGAAGGTAGGAACCGCCGCAGCCAGCCTTCCGTGGCCGCGTCCCTCTCGCTGCTCTCACTCCCTGACATTTGCGCTTCGGCGGAGCACCAGGTGCTGTGCTGGGAATGTTCACCAAAGAAGCCCAGAGAAGCGGTCTTGGGGGTTTGGTTTTCCAGCACGTGCTGCCGGAAATGTGATGCCAGTTTTACCAAAGATCCTGCGTCCCTTTTCCCTTTGGGACGAGGGATGTTGTTTAGCCATTTGTTGGGACTCAGTTGCCTTTGTAAATATGCAAACAGTGTAAATAGGCAGGAGCTCAAGTAGTAGGCTAAATGGATGGTATATGGGAAAATCTTAGGGAACTTACAGCTAACATTCCAGACAACCACCAAAATTCCTGAGAAAGTGATTCCTCTGTTAGACCACACCCAGGCTGGAAGAGCCCACCAATTCTTTCTTCTTGCATTGGAATTTTTGTTTAATATTATTCTGTACTTAGCCATTAATATTTTAATTCCCTAAGTAATCTTAGACTTTCTTAGCTTTATACCAATGTATTCTCTTTCCTACCCTCTTTTTTTTTTTTCCATAGGAAAACCCAGAGGTTTTCATGGTGTGTTTTATGGCAGCATTCCCAAGAAAATAAAAACCTCATAAACCTCATATCGTGTGTCGCCTCTCCACCTACTCCATATTTTAGCTGCCGCTGTGTAATATAGACGGGTCTTGTCAGGCAAGGTTTACCTTCCATCCAGCTGCTCCGCCGACCAGCCCCATATCTGTTCTATTTATCCTTAAAAGCCCCATATCTGGTCTTTCCTGGATTACTAAAACAGTTCTCACTGTCCTAGAAGAGAGAGGTTAAAACTGATTTAATAATGTGCTTCAGTATGGAGGTGAAACGTACATTCTAGTCTCCTTTTGAACAATACAGAGAAAGGGGACTTGGACATCAGCACGAGCCATTTTGGATAATAAGTAATGCTACATTCCATTTGTAAAGCGCTTCACTTCCGGGCAGTGAATGTGTTCAACTAGAATAGATGGGGTCGGGTGCTAAGGTTTTGGGGTCAGTTCCCTTTGTCTGGGAACTTTCACTGCCACCCTTCCTGAGGGCAGAAGCCCCTGGCTCTTCCAGGTTGATGTCTCTATAACTTTGTGTATTAATTATTAACTATGTTCAAGTTCTGTCCTTTCACATCTCCAATCCTTGTCAACCTTCTTCCCCCTTCACCAATATCGTCATCTACATATTAAAAACTGTTTTCTGAGAGTCTTCGTGTTCTTGGCTCTGTCTGACTAGTTCTGTAATATTTAGAGGAAACTGCTTTGCCCATTGGTAACAGAGTCCAAAATAAAAACCTCATCCCCTGGCCGCACACAATCCATTTTCGTCATCTTCTTCCCTTTCCGCAGGCAACGGTGGAGTTTTTGTACCTACATAGATCCTTATCTCGCAAAGTGTTTTTGCAAAAGGCTTGTCTTTTCCCTAAGATACTGCTGCAAGAAACAACAGTGAATGTGCAGTACCTCTAGATGTCAGCAAATTCCAGGCCTTGAAAGTTACATAAGCTGTGTTTTCTGGTACAAATGCTGCTGCTTCCTCATCTGAACACCAGCCTCCTTTCTTGGTCTCCTCCCCGTGCCTCTTTTCTTGGCTCTGTTCTTCATCTTCCCACCCCACCAGGGGGGAGCAGCCCAGTGGGAAGGTGAGAGCCGGGTTAGCCGCCCCAGCCGACTTCCCGCACTGGCCTGGCCCATCTGTCTTCTGTGGTCCTGCACGCTGGACCGGCCTCCACGTGGAGGCACATTGGTGCCCTTGTCCTCCGTGTCAGAGAGCCAGCAGTAGGTTATATATCAGCTATCGTGTGACTGAATTACACCCAGGGCCAGCTTCCTCCTCTCTGTCTACAGTCAGCGCTTTGTGTCTTCTAGGAGCCGACATCCGCACAGCCAGGGTTGCAGATGCTGGGCCCGTTTTGGCAGACGCGCTCCGGAAGCTCTTACTCGATCTGGACGTGGATGATGGCCTAGCTGCCATTGGTTACTCCAAGGCCGACATCCCCGCATTAGTGAAAGGCACGCTGCCCCAGGTAAGAGACGCAGTGCATCTGCATTCTAGAAACTGCAGGAAAGACATGGTCCATTCGGGTGGTGTTGAGGGAGACAAAACCCCAGGGGTCCTCCAGTGGCTCTCAGGTCTCCTCCACGCCAGATGGCCGCTCCCCTTCCCCAGGGGGATGGGGCCAGGGCTCCCTCACCTTTATATTCTTCCATAAAACTGTGGCATGTGTGAAACCTTTATGATGTGACTGAAAGGAGCCTTTATAAAAATTCAAGGCACAAACAACCACATTTACATCGAGGTATGGCAAAATTTCCCTTTTCCCCATTTCTGCTCTTTTAAACATAAACATATGAAATATATAATATACACATCTGTGTCACTTTGGGTCTTATTTCATTTATTTAAATGTCACTAAATAATTTAAACTGAACTGCCATCCTTTAGTTGGTAGAAAAATTGTAATAAATGTAGCTTCCCCTCCCTGGGTTCTCATGAAGAGAGTTTATCCCCCATTGGACCTCTCTTCCATTTAGGATCAGATACCCAGATACCCCTATGCGATAGCATCAGACCCTAACAGGCCAAAACCATAAAATAGAGAGCCAGAGCCATGAGTGCTCAGTTTGTGGAGCACACCATGCTCACCATCCCCAGTGCTAACTTAGCCCTCCTGTCCAAAATGGGAAAGCAAACATCACAGTAAAACACTGTGAGAACATGAAGATAAGGCATGTCTGCCCAAGGCATCTATCCCTGAAATGGGAACAGAGTTGACAGCTGGAATATCTGCGCACACAGCATCCTGCTCACCCCAGTCCAGTTAAGTAAGGGCCTCACACTAGCTTCTTTCTCACTTAGCAAATGCTCAGAATGTTGAAGACTTCAGCTCATGTAAGATAATATTCGTATGGGTTTACTCATGTCCACAGGAGCCAGGGAGGTAACAGCAATGAACAAAGTAATTTAAGGCAATAGCAAGTGGTGGGGACTTTGGTAAACTGGAAAGCACGCGGCTTATCTCATTGGGTAAGCCTCTCTTCAGTTACAATTTATTACGCCCAAGTAAAAATTCAGATTCCAGTGTTGGTAGAACTTCCAGTTTTCAAGAAAAATCCACAATCTGGATGCTTGTGTCGAATTCCTCATTTCCCAATGTACAAACCAAACATGGCCCATGGGCCATCAGTTTCCCTGATTTAGACTGAGGATCAGTGGACTCTATTGCATCTAAAAATATAAATGAATGAGAAGAGAGGAATCTCAAAGTGTAGCAAAGCTCCTTGGCTAACTCACAAACTCTTGGTTCTAACCCACAAGTCCAGGGGACTAAATGGCCAAAAAATATGACCATCCCAGTTATTTTATTCAAACCTACTAGACAGTAAGTTCCATGAAGGCCAGAACCTGTCTGTTTTGGTCATCCATCCTCTATTGCATGTAGTATGGGCTAGTAAACATGTTAAATAAATACATACCTGCAGCCCTCTGCTCCTAAAACTTCTGTCTAGGTGAGTTAAATGACTGAATGGTGGTAACTTTTTGAGAAGTTTCCTTAGATTGAGTAGGACTAAATCAGTGACAAGGAGCCATAAAAGCCTGCCCAGGGACACCAGAGACCAGATGGTCATTATGATTTTTATGTAGCTCTGGCTCTTACAGTATGGTCCCAGCAATAGTGTCCATTCTACAAGGGGTCCTCTAAAAGTTCTGCTTATATAGCCCAGGAAAGTGTTCAGGAATATGTGTTTGTCATCCCCTATGAATGGTATTCATAATTTTCAGATGAAACTATATGATATTCTTGCCCATTTTAATTGCTGGTAGCAATGCATCTTCCAGGTATCAGGACACAGTGGCAAGTGTTTACTGTTTTAATTCTACTCCCACTTTCAGAAGCTGTTCTGGATTAACATTTGAAACCTTCACTAAACTAAAATAGCAGGTTAATTAGGTATCATTCTGAATGCCTCAGCGTAGATGTCATACTGGGAAATACAAATAGCAAAACACTAACTAGACAAAACTAGTTTCTTCATTTTACAAAAGATGCGAGGTAAATTGAAACTTTGGAACACAAGTCATGTCCATAAAGTAGGAATGCTGTGGCAACTTCAGAATTTTACACACGCAGCACACTAATCTTCACTTATTAGTATCACAGGATTTAAGGTAGTGAAGGGAATATTCTGGTTCCTGCAAAAAAAGGTTATTTCATGTAGTCAACATTTGATAAAGCTTCTTTTATGTTCAGCAACGAGGGATCAGTTTTCTCTGGAAGGAACAACCAGGCCAGTATTCTTGACCAAACACCAGGGCTCATACTGGCAGCGGCAAAGAGCAGCCCTGTGTGCAGAGGCTTCCAACCGCCACAGCCAGGCTGTGAGGGGAGCGGGCAAGAATAAATTAATCTTCCAAGCTGGGTTTCTGAAACCTCTGGAAAGAAACATTTACATTTTAAATCAAAACATTTCATTACTGAGGAGAGCTGTCTACCAATATGAGCACTTCCACTCCCTGGCAGACAGGCCAGCTGAAATGTTGTTCTTTTATGAATGTGCTAAAAGTAGTAGTCTAGATTTATTTCAGTGCCCATGTTAATCAGTTGTCCTTCGGTCTTACATGACTATAAATAATAGCGCATTGCAGAAGACATCTTAATTCTGAGTTTAGCTTTTATATGGCACTGATGATATGTGTGGGGATATATCACAAACTTTACATCCTTGCCCCAGTTTAACCAGTCATTGGGAGTTAGAAATCTGAAAGAAACTCAGCTCATCTTGGCCTAATACTTCTGAGAGTCCTGAACTACTTCACCAAAGATGAACAGGACCATTCTAAGGGCCTTTTAGCTCATCCGATAAGACTCACTCCATTATCAAAAGGATAATGGGACAGCAATCTTCAGCTCTTGACCCTGCCATGAAGGTATGCGTAGGTCACCATGACCAAGTCTCTGGGACTTGCTATGGATTTTCAAAATTCTTTAGAGTCTCTAAAAGATCTGCTGGGATGTACAATTTTATCTTGGCTTCACTCATATTTGTCAGTACTGTCCCCCATCTTTCTCCCATCTATTGAATCATCCCAAATAGAAGCTCTTCTCTGTTGTTTAATGGTAAATAATATTACCACTGCCCCTTTGTCCCCACCCCCCTGCCCCTGGACACCTCTGTCCTACTTTCCGTCTTTATGAATTTGCCTGTTCTAGGTACTTCGTTTAAGTGGAATTATACAATATTTGCCCTATTGTTTTGCTGTATTTCACTTAGCATAATGTCTTCAATATTTTAGAATTTCATTCCTGTTTATGACTGACTAATATTCCATTGTGTGGATATACCAGATTTTGCTTATCCATTCATCTGCAGATAGACACTTGGGTTGATTCCACCTCTTGGCTATTGTGAATAGTATTTGTTTTAGTCCCTGATTTCAATTTATTTTGTTATACTTAGGAATAGAATTGTTGGAGCACATGGTAATTCTGTGTTTAACTTTTTGAGGAATTGGCCAAACTGTTTTCCACAGTGGCTGCACCATTTTCATATTCCCACCAGTAATGCACAAGGGTTCCAGCTTCTCCACATCTACAACTTGCTAAACACTTGTTATTTTTCTTTTCTTTTTTTATAGCCATTCTAGTGGGTGTGAGTGGAAATTCATTGTCGTTTTGACTTGTATTTCCATAATGACTAATGGTGTTAAGTGTTTTTCCATGTACTTATTGGCTATTTATATAACTTCCTTGGAGAAATGTCTAGTCATGTCCTTTGCCTACTTTTTTTTTTTTTTTTAATCCTTACCCAAGGGCATGTTTTCATTGACTCTAGAGAGAGAGGGAGGGGGAGGGAGAGAGAGAGAAACATCAATGTGAGAGAGAAACACCGATCAGTTGCCTCCCATACATGCCCCAACTGGGGATCGAACCACAACCTGGGTATGTGCCCTGACTGAGACCACACTCCAGCCAACTGAGCCATACTGGCCAAGGCTCCTTTGCCTAATTTTGAATTAGGTTGTCTGGGGATTTTTGTTGTTGAGTTGTAGCAATTATTTATATATTCTGGATATTAATCCCTTATCAGATATCTGACTTACAAATATTTTCCCCATTCTGTTATTTTTTCATTCTCCTGAGTGTCCTCTGACGCATGGGAGTTTCTAATTTTGATGTAGTCCAGTTATCTGTTTTTTCTTTTGTTGCCTATGCTTTTGGTGCCATCCAAGAAATCACAGCCACATCCAACGTATGAAGATTTTCCCCTATTTTCTTCCAAGAATTTTAAGGTTAAGCTCTTACATTTAGGTTCATTTTGAGTTGATTTTTGTAAAAATCCTTCCTTCTTTTCATTCTTCCTTTACCTAACAAATACTTGGTGAGGTCTTGTTCTATAAAATTCATTGTATGCGATACAGTGAGAAGGAAAATAAAGTTCTTTCCCTCTCTCATGGAGCTTACANTACATGCCCCAGCTGGGGATCGAACCACAACCTGGGTATGTGCCCTGACTGAGACCACACTCCAGCCAACTGAGCCATACTGGCCAAGGCTCCTTTGCCTAATTTTGAATTAGGTTGTCTGGGGATTTTTGTTGTTGAGTTGTAGCAATTATTTATATATTCTGGATATTAATCCCTTATCAGATATCTGACTTACAAATATTTTCCCCATTCTGTTATTTTTTCATTCTCCTGAGTGTCCTCTGACGCATGGGAGTTTCTAATTTTGATGTAGTCCAGTTATCTGTTTTTTCTTTTGTTGCCTATGCTTTTGGTGCCATCCAAGAAATCACAGCCACATCCAACGTATGAAGATTTTCCCCTATTTTCTTCCAAGAATTTTAAGGTTAAGCTCTTACATTTAGGTTCATTTTGAGTTGATTTTTGTAAAAATCCTTCCTTCTTTTCATTCTTCCTTTACCTAACAAATACTTGGTGAGGTCTTGTTCTATAAAATTCATTGTATGCGATACAGTGAGAAGGAAAATAAAGTTCTTTCCCTCTCTCATGGAGCTTACATTCCAGTGAGGAAAGACAGACAATGGACATCTAACCAAACCTATAAATAAGATACGGTAAAATCATTTTAGATACTGATAAGTGGTATGGAGGAAAACCTGGTGATTTCACTCAGGACAGCGTTGAGGGAACTCCAACAAAGGCGGTCGGAGAAGGCCTCTGGCTGGAGGTGGAGCCTCCGAGTGACAATCTGGGAGAAGCACTCCAGGCAGAGGGGAAAGGCTTTGCGACAGGGTAAGATCAGCATTGTCATGGGACTGAATGGGGTCGGTGAGACTAAGTGGGATGAACCAATGAAAGAAGAGTTAGAGCTGGGGTGAGAACCGGGGCCAGATAAGGTGGCATTCGAGGCTATGGCTTTGTTCTAATTGCAATGGAAGTCACGGGAGAGCACTAAGAGCAATGCTACAATCAGGTTTATGCTGGGGTGGAGGGAGGGGGGATCGCTCTGCTGCCATGCACGGAATCACCTCTAGGGGGCGAGAGTGGAGCAAAAGTGGAAACAGTTTTAAGAGCCCTTTGGAGTAGAACCGAGGAGTGGTGGAGACCGACTTGGATTGTGGTGCAGCAGGAGGGGCGAAGCGGTTGGATTTGGGATTTATTTTGGAGGCTGATCTGACAGGCTTGCTGATGCATTTAACACATAGGGAAAGGAAAGAAGAATCAAGGATGACTCCTAGGCTTTTGCCTTAGTGACTGGATGTCATTTCTGAAATGATGAAAATCGGAGGCAGGGGAGGCAGAGTTCTTCTATCTTGTACGTGTGGATTTTGAGAAGCCAATATCCCTTCTTCCACCATCTTCATTAATTCAGCAAATAACTGTTGAGGACCTGTTTGCTGTGTGCTAAGCACTCTGGGAGGCGCTAGGCATGGGGTGAACACAGCCCTGCCCTTGTGGAGCTGCCCTCTTCCCCCAGGTGTGCCCCCAAACAGGTGCTTATCACAAGAAAACAGACTGACAGACCCAGGAAAATGGAACTCCCAAACTGTTACATTTCTTACTTTTACTTAGGCCCAGAAATTTGGACACAGAGTAGTCATTATAATATCTTTTAATCCCTTATCCCAGAGGAATCAAGGAGCTACTGACAAGAGTATAAACAGCAAAAGCATGTGCTGGCTAGCTCTGCTGACTTGACTCAGTAATCATTGGAAAAATTAAGTAAGTCACCAAATTTGTTTGTGAAGGTAGAGATAAAACCTTAGTTAATATTTAAAAAGGAGTCACTTGTTGACCCTAGCCTGAAAGTTATGTCCTAATGAAGTTCTTTTAAACATACCTGAAGTCCAAGTTGCAAAACATAGTCTTTGAAGTTAGAGATGCCCTGGTTCTGTTTTCTTTGCTGTGCCTGGGACAGTGCTCTCCACACCCGGAGAACTGACTGAGGTTGCTGACCAAAGCTGTTTGATTATTACAGGAGGTGTTTTTCCTGAGGTTGGTTTAGTTCTGTACATTTGGGCAGAAGGCTATTGGCAGGGCATAAGGCAAGGACAATTAGGCAAGGCATAAGGCGTTTGAAATCTGCACAGCATCGGGAATATAGTCAATAATATTGTAATAACTGTGTGGTGCCAGGTGGGTACTTGAAATGTTAGGGGATCACTTTGTAAAGTATATGATTGTCTAACCACTATGCTATACACTTGAAACTAATATAAAATAATATTGAATGTAAACTGTAATTGAAAAAAAAAAATGAAAGTTTTGTGGGGAAAAAGGCATCATCACTTGATAAACTTCTGAGTTGGGAGTCAGCTACTATGAAGCAAACAAGAAATATTATTTTTTTTAAATGTTTTTGTTGGTTTTTAGAGAGAGNTGAAAGCTTTGTAGGGAAAAAGGCATCATCACTTGATAAACTTCTGAGTTGGGAGTCAGCTACTATGAAGCAAACAAGAAATATTATTTTTTTAAAATGTTTTTGTTGGTTTTTAGAGAGAGAATAAGGGAGAGAGAGAGACATTGATGTGAGAGTGGAACTTCGATCAGCTGCCTCCTACGCTTCCTCTACCAGGGATCGAGCCCGAAACCTGGGCCTGGGCCCCAGCTAGAATCAAGCCCACAAACCTTTTGGTACATGGAACAATGCCTAACCAACTGAGCCATACTGACCAGGGCAAGAAAATGAATTTTAAAGATATAATTATTATCAAGTTATTATTTTTTATGCCCAAGTTAATTTTCATAACCTAGTACCTTTTACAAACCACCTTTTCAAAGCCCTCAGTAACTCCTTTTGTTTACTGTTTCAGGAAAGAGTCACCAAGCTTTCACCACGCCCTCAGTCAGAAGAGGATCTGTCTGCCCTATTTGAAGCTTCGATGAAACTGTATTAACTTTCATTTTCACTGAAAGAATTACCATCGGCTATCATAGTTCTGAAGTCAGAAGTTGATCTAGCCAGAGCTCTGTCTTTTCATCTCCACACATAAGTTATCTGTTACCAGTTTGAATGTGATATAAATGTATCCTACAGAAGATTCCATGGTGCTCAAAGTCAAGCTACTTCCATAATACAGGTTAGACAAATGCCCACAGTGTTGGACCCTGGTTTGTGTTCCTGTCCTAAACCCCGCAGACTGCCCCTGTTTCATTATCAAATGGGTAAAAAAACACTTATCTATCAAAATTGTTAATGTACACATTCTGTGCCCAGTAATTCATGTCTAGAAATTTATATTATAAAACTACTAGCATGAGTGTGTAAAAAAAATATGGCAAAAATGTTTCTGGCAGTATTTTTTTCTAATAAAAATTTGAAAGAACCTAAATATTCATTAATAATATATTGATAAATAAATTATAGTATATTAAAAAATACAATGCTTTTGCGCTATTAATAAAAATGAAGTACTATAAAACAATTGGAAATATGTTCATGATATACTGATAAGTTGGAAAAAAGTAAGTTGCAGAACAATTATATATTAGTATGGTCTGGTCTTTATGTTTTTAATTACATGTCAATATATGTTTATATATAGGGTGTCCCAAAAAATTGTATACATATTTTAACAGCTGGTAGCTCAATTTTGAAAATGAAATGTATTTTATTAAGCACTGCCTTTATAATTATTAAAAGTGTGTGTATACATTTTTGGGATACCCTATATACATAGAAAAGAAGGGTGGACATCAAAATATTAAAAGTTATCACCGGAGAAATGGAATTTGGGGGTATAGAAAATTAAGAGAAAATATTCACTTTATATTTTATAGTTTAACTTTATTTTATAAACATCTCTATTGTTTGGATTTGTTACAACAAGCATAGATCTAATTTTAAAGGGGGGGAGAAAACAAAGAAAAATACCATTTTACTATTATAGGTCAGATTCATCTTATTTTATAAAAATACTAGTAACTAATATTTAAAAGGTAAAAACAAAGGGGTAAAATATTAGAGACTGATCCTCTGGCAAATAAATTGTTCTTTTGAGAAAAAAACATTAACTTTTTTTAATGGAGGTAACGTTGGTCAATAACATTATATAAGTGTACAACATGACAATTAGATATCTGTATACACTATAGCATGCTCCCCACCCAAAGCCTAGTTTCCATCGGCCACCATACATTTGACCCCTTTACTCATTTTGCCACCCCCCCCATTTTCCCCTCTGGGAACCACCAATCTGTAGTGTGTATCCATGAGTTTGTTCTGTTCTGTTTGTTCGTTTCTTTTTGTTTTGTATCCCACAGATGAGTGAAATCACATGGATTTCGTCCTCCGTCTGACATACTTTGCTTAGCAAGATACCCTCAAAATCCATCCATGTTGTCGCAAACAGCAATCTTTCATCTTTTTTGATGGCTCAGTAGTATTCCCTTGTATATATGTACCACATCTCCTTTATCCAGTCATCTGTCAATGGACACTTAGGAGTTTTCATATCTTAGCTATTGTACGTAACCCTGCAGTGAACATAGAGGCACACATATCTTTTCAAATTAGAAAACACTAATATTTTGCTTGGAATTCTCTCTTTGGAAAAATGTTTCTGGTACTCAGAATAAATTAATTCAAGAGCAAGCAGTTTTGTAAATTTGCAGATGTCAGCCTTGCAAGTAGAATCTAAGGAGCATGACGGTCTGCCTTCCTGTTATTTCCCTACCTGCAGAAACTTCTACGGCTCATTTTCCTCACAAAGGTTCCTAAACTGAGGTCTGCCTGCTCAAGCCTTGGGGTCTAGCTCTCAGTGTACTTGTGGAATTATTCATGTTTTAAATTTAATTAAAGTTTTAATCAAGTAAGTAATATATATGAACTATATCAGGATTTTTTAAAATGGATGAGTAAGGCATTGCTGTGCCACTCAACCTGCCCAGGCCCACCTTATCTCTATAAAGGTCTTTATTTCCTTGAGAATTTTTTAAAAGACTTTGTAATTGATTTTGAGAGAGAGAGTAGAAGGGAGAGGGAGAGAGAAACATCAATGTGAGGGCGAAACATTGATCTACTGCCTCCTGCATGTGCACACCCTATGGAGGAACTGAGGTCACAACCGGGGCCTGTGCCCTGATCGGGAATTGAACTTGCAACCTTTCAGTGCATGGGTGACACCCAACCAACTGAGCCACACCAGCCAGGGCTCCTTGAGATTTTGAAAATAACATTTAAATAATCTTTATTGGGGGTTTTCTTTAATTACAAACATAAAATATGTTCAGGACCAAAAACTGATAATACAAAGATAAACACAAAAGAAAATATTTGTTCATATTGTGCCATCCAAAAGATAGCCACTGTTAAAAATGTGGTATGTGTCCTTCCAGTAATTTTGTATGCATATATATGTATATATAGTATAATTATATATGCATATATTTTTTCTTAGAAATGGTATAGTTGTAATTCCTACTGTGCATACTAATTCTTTAGCCCAAGAGCCCAAAAAAGCAAGCATAAGACAGCACCGACAGAATTTCAGCTATACCTTGCAGACCATATCTAGCTAAAATCCCCTCCAGCTTTTTTTCATGGATTCTGACAGAAGTTTTGTGAATGAGACAGAGAACAGCTAAACTCCCTGCCAATCAGATCCTTCAGAAAACTTTAATAAAAGTTGTTCATGAATGTTTCAAAATACATTTGGCATAGCAAAAACATATATGTGCCCTCCCCCAAAGAATCCAGGGAAGTTTTAGAACTCTTGTAATATATTCTGCAAGGTGATGCGCACCCTTAGAAAGCCAGTCGGCTGGGAGTCAAGGACCCTGGGCTCTGTTCCAGGTCCTTTATTCAACCTAGGCCTCTTCCAGCTTGAAAATACTACAACTAGATTTTATGTTATTACCTAGTCCTTAATACATAAAATCTCACAAGTGAGATTTTGAGTATGGGAACTTTAATGTAAAATAATTTGAGATATAAAAATGCATTCTCTATCTCTCTTAAATATTCAATGCCTTTACTACCAGTAGCCAGATGTCTACATGTGACTCACCAGGAGGAGTGTTTGCTATGCATACTGATGATGACTCTAGAGGAAGGATTTAAAGGTCAGGCAAAGAAACAGATTCAGGAAGACTTCACATTTTTTATCTTAATACCCATCACAATTTAAGTATAAGGAAAAGATACGTTTCTTGACTTACCAGCTATTAAAAGAGTGTGAGATAGGAGATTAGGCCTATTTCCATAAACCAAACACTTTGATGTTTCTGAGACAATTGAGAGACTTTTTCTAAATCAAATCCTACTTTTTCTATTTATTTTCATTAAAAAATCAAAGTCCTTAGGACTCACAGCTCCATTTATATGGATTAATTTACTTGCCAAGGCAAGGAACATCAAAGGACAGTATTCAAGTTTGTGAAATACTTTTATGAAACTATCCTCTATGGTGACATTTGCACTTAAAATATATGCACATCTTAATTTATTTCATGATATAAAATACTAATTTGTTTCAAGTAAGTCATGTGTCTACGGTTTTTGTCAAGCGCCACAATAAACAGCTGACTGGTTGTTCACTCCTGTCCCTTCTCCATGTTGTGTTGGGCTTGGCATTGTTTGCGTAGCTGTGGACACAGCTGTGGGGTGTTTTCAGTGGTCAATGAACTAAGTCTACTCTTGTAAAAATCCAGACAAGTACAGTATCAAAATAGAGAGAGAGAGAGAACAAAAATTGCTTTTCTGGCCTTTTAACCTTGAGAAAGATTAATGGTTGTTTGGATTAGAAACTGTACCCTAATGAGAGACTGTTGCCTCCGGGGAGTGGGTATGAGAAAGAGGGCTGTTCACCTCCGGGTCAACATCTCACAGGCTGCTGTGTCTCTGATGGCCAGCAACTCCAAGCTGAGACAGCTGCCAGGGCTCGGTCTCCACCATTAAATGCTGGATCCCCTGGGAGCTGCTGAGGAGGCCAGGCCACATCCCAGCCATCACCATCACAATGGCCTGTACCAGGAAAAGCCACACTTTGGGCAGAAATTGGTTCTTGAAGCCCTAGGTTGAATTACTGGCAGCTGGGGGTGGGAGGGTCTGCTTTCTCATGCTATTATTCCACTGTCTTCCCAACCACCCAGCAACTCTCAGAATAAATGCATAAGCCCCACAAATTGCAATAACTGTTTGCAGTTTTGTCCCATGTGAAATCCCTCATGAATCTATGATCAGGACCGCTAACTTTAAAATAACCTCATCTTTCTGGCTTTAAATATTAGCTTTTGCATTTGGATGCTTTTAATTGGCTTTCCAATTTATAAAACTGGAAACTAATTAAAATAATCATGAGCAAAATGAGAAAAAAACTACCATCATGCCATCACCCAAACACAGCTGTTATAGTTTGATATATTTCCGTTCTATCTTTTTCATTTGGGTGATGTAACCTAGCTCTTAAAGCATGACATTTTAAGTATTTTCTATGTTGCCACATAATCTTCAAAACCATTCATTTAAAAGGTACATAACAGTTTATTGAACAGGAATTTAATAATTTATCTTATAGGGCATCAAGATTGCTTCCAAGTTTTACCCCATCAATACCATAGCAATGAATATTATGTATATGTATTTTTTTCATACTCTAAATTAATTTCTTAGGTTAATTAATCCCCAATTGAAGTTTTACATTAGAGTATGGACATTTTTATGGCTCTTGATTTATATTGTCAAATTATATACACCTCACTATTGTTTTAAATGCCACTTACCCTCTCCTTCAATTTTACTTCTTTTCAAAATCAACAGTGTACAGAATAGGAAATATAGTCAATAGTATTGTAATAACTATGTATGGTGCCAGGTGGGCACTTGAAATATCAGGGGGACTACTTTGTAAAGTATATAATTGTCTAACCATTATGCTATATACCTGAAACTAATACAAAATAATATTGATTATAAACTGTAATTTAAAAATAAAATTTTAAATGAAAAAAATCAGTAGTAGTGCCAAACAACAATTAATGAAACAAAGTTCACATGGATGGACTGGCTAGATTATTTTTGCAGATTTGCAAAATTCAGTTGTGCTTTTTCTTTTATGTCAGCATATCTTAACAGTTCACATGATCAGATTAAAAGTTTTAAATAAAATGATGAAGCTTACTTTAGTGTTATATTATTGACTCAAGTGAAACTATGGATCACCAAGTCTCTTTTTCTTGGTCACTAATTTTTTTTTTATCCTCCTAAGACCCTCTATGGGCCCCTAAGTCTGTGATCTGTGTTATTACAGTCATGGTTCTCAATTTGCTGGCCAAGA